CTTGCCCACTTGCCTGCACCACTTGACCACTTGCCTGCACCACTTGACCACTTGCCAACCTTCTAGAAGGACTGCAGCTAGCCTTCCAGTCTATAGGTCTACGGATCGAATCCTGGCTACCTATAGACCTACGACAGACCTACCTACCACTGGCGGTTCTACAGGTCGCAGGTTCAATTCTTCGAGTTGACGCTGGTTTTGTACACAGGTAAGTTGGGAAACTAGGGATCGAGCCCTGGGATCTACCTCAGCTACCACGAATTGGTGAATACCGTTTCACTATAGCCGATTGATATACAGATGATATAAGTTAATACCTTGCTGAATTGTGTCGCAATAGCTGAATTGTGTTAAATAAAGATCACACCTTTCAGTGTCTTAGCAGTTATAGCATCTTTTGTCCATCAGGAAAGTAATGCCAACACCAGCGTATCCAGCTGGCGGCCCCAACCAGCGAAATCCGTCAACCGTCGCACACTCGGTTGGCTCGACGCCTCTCCTACCATAGCTCAAATGCCTTTCTTTTCATCACAAATCTATGAATGATTTATCATTATTCGCGTGTTAGTGTGGGGTCACACACAGGGGAACTCCCCCATGGTGAACCGTAGAAGGCAGAAAAGGGAGACAAGGACAAGAAGACACAGCACGCCGTGGTGACAGTGTATACGGGTGTCGGCCTCGTTAGACACCACGCTCCACTTCACTTGAAAGTCAAGGGAGGCCCTACGGTCCAAATCGTGATTATTAAAAAGTGGAGGCCCTACCGACTTCCCCCGAACACAACGCACCCTTATTTTGGCTGTATCTGGCCGGAAATATACTTGTATACATTCATTTTTAGGGTGTGTTATGTTCGGGGGAAGACGGTAGTGCCCCAATCGTGATTATTAAAATGGTAGTAAACACAGTTTGCGTTCGCGTTCCGCCTAACCTTACAAAGTTGGGGCAAAAATAAAATTCCGGTGCTTTTTTGCTCATGAGGCGTGCTGATATCAGAAAATTTGCCTGTGGCCTAGGCTACCAGCCGGGCCTCCCGGGTCACCTTCTTTCCCAGACGGCCCGGCTGTGTAAGGAGGACCAGGGAAGGTCCCAGCAAAAGAAAAATTAAAAATAAAATCCGAAAAATCCCCAAAAAAAGTTAAAAAAACTATGAGGACCAGGGAAGGTCCCAGCAAAAGAGAAATTAAAAAGAAAATCCAAAAAATCCACAAAAAAAGTTAAAAAAAAACTCTATGTTATGCCGAAAAATAAACTGGACAACTTTTGCCTCAGGGTCACATCGAAATTCTTTACCAAATTAAAAATATATCTGTTTGACGATATATATATATATATAGTCAAACAGAGCTGCCTACGGTAAACCGTAGGCAGAGAGGGAGAAAGGGAGAAGAGGACAACAAACGAACAAGGGGCTGTGGCAAACTGTTTCGTCAGAGTTTCACCGACTCATCAGGAGGCTATATATATCGCGCTCTGATATTCATGTGACGATATATATATTGTCACATGATATCAGAGCGCCAAAGCCAAAAACAGAAAGAAAACATGGAAAGCAAGAAAAAATTAATTCGTTTTTAATCTTCTTCCTTACAACTCCCCCTGTTAAAAAAGAACCTCTTGCATACAAGGCCGCCCACGTGGATCTAGGTTGAGCTGAGCGGCGGCTGCCCCCACCCCCGTGTGTCATATCGACCCACTTGCACACAGCCAAAAGGCAAAGAGGCAAAGAAGAGAGGAAGGGAACAGCCAAATAATACAGAACAGGGGGCAACAAAACAGATCCCAGATGACAAGTCCCACATGCAAGCACCGCCCCTGCTCACAGGCCACACAACTATATA